GGCACACACACACACGCACACACACACACACACACACACAGGCGCACACACAGGCGCACACACACAGGCGTGCACACACAGGCACACACACAGGCACACACACAGGTGCACACACAGGCACTCACACACAGGTGCACACACACAGGCGCTCACACACAGGTGCTCACACACACACAGGTGCACACACACACACACACACACACACACAGGCACTCACATGTGCACACACAGGAGCAGGAGGACGAGACCTGGTGGCACGGGGGTGGCAGCGGGCTGCTCTGTCACATCTGGGTGGATGTGGACCTTCAGGGTGGCAGTGGGGAGGCACGATGCTGTAGGACCAGACCCCAGCCCGCCGAGCCAGGCTGAGCAGCACGCCGGCCTGCTGACCCACTGCCTCTCACGGTGGCCGTGTAGGCAGTGGGCCGTTTCAGCGTGTGCCCACACCACTCTGGAGCTTCTTTCTTTCTTTCTTCTGTGGGACAGGCACGCACACCCCCCAACAGGGTCTTCACATGGCTATCTACTGCAGCCCCCGCCGGCCCAATCATGGACGTGGACACACACGTGCACACCCGGCACGTACAGGAGGCCCCGGGACACGGACCCAGGCTCCTTCCAGGCACAGCAGCCCCGCACAGCACGATGACGCCTGCCTCGTTACCGGCTGGCCCCACGCTGCAGATCTGCACTTGACACAGCAGACGGCAGACAGCAGGAGCTCACGGAGGCCAGCACCACATCGCGGGCTGGGGGCACAACTAGGAGGGAGGGGTGTCCCCGCCAGAGTCGCCTCTGAGACGCCATAGGCTCCCACAGAGTGCAACACGTGAGCCGGGGTTCAGAAGCTAAGCTGGGAAGGTCGCAAATGCCTCGTCAACTGTACACACAGGAGCGTGACTCTCCACAGTGAGCGGCTGCCCTGTCGCGGCTGAGTCCGAGTACGGTGCTTAGGAGGGGCAGGCGGGTCCTGTGTGGGAGACAGAGGAGGTGGCGGAGGAACACAAGGCCTCTGAGGGTCTGACCCCCCAGTTTCCCGCAGGCCGCAGAGGTCGCCCCACACAGCAGGGTGACAGAGCCCTCCTCAGCTGGACCCAGAGCCTTTGTCTGAAGGCTGGGGTCTGGGGGGGGTGGTCTTTGTAGATGGACTGCGAGGAGCAGCACGGGGGGGCTCCCACAGGTGATGGGACCCCCAGCCTGCGGAAGCCCCGACTCCTCCACTTCCGCCTGCGGTCTCCCATGTGCGTTTCAAGGTTTTATTGGTGACAGACAGTGCGTGGACACAGGACGATGAAAGCTCGAGAAACCACGGGTACTCCTAGGAAGGAACGGCCCTGCAGCCACGAGGCCCGGCCACAGCGCGTACTAGAAGTGAGCGTTCAAGAGCAGGGTCATTCTTGGGCTTTGCATCGTGAGCGCTGGAGCAGAAGACTTCATAGAAGGTTCAGACAGTGAAAGTGAAGGTGGAGAACAGACAAAGTCACAGACACGGAAAAGCAACGAGGAAAGAAACGGACTGGCCTGAGCCAGGCAGCAGGACCATCAGAAGTGGGTCAGGGAAGGTCACCTGGGAAACCCAGCGATGGCTGGGGACTAGTAGGAGGGGTTGCGCGGTCCTGGACGATGAAGCCCACCAGCAAGGACCCCCCAGCACCCCACTGTGGCCCACCCCCCACAACCCAGGACAAGACAGATGGAGACGGGGAAGGAGACATCGAGAATTCAAAGGACAGATTGTGTTCGTTTTCCACTGCTGCTATAAAAAATAACCACGAATTTAGTGACTTCAAACAGCAGGTTCTAAGCTCTGGAGCTCAGAAACCCGGAGCGCATCTCCTGGACTGGTCGAGGTGTCTGTGGGCTGCCCAGGGTTCGGGGAGAACCTGCCTCTCGCCTTCTCCAGCCCCAGGCCGCCCACGTCCCTTGCCTCGCGGCCCCTCCTCCATCCCCAGAGCCAGCTGCCGAGCATTTCCGGTCTCTCTCCTCTGTCCTCTCACTGTGCTTCCCACACCTGTCCTTCCTGACTCTGCCCCCCACCTCCCTCCGTCACATGGCCAAGGTATAACCCAGGGTAACGCTGCACTTCAAAACATGTCACTTTATCCTGCTGGCCCAGTCCCTTCAGACAGGCAGGCAGCAGGCCCCGAGGTTCCAGACTAGGCCTCGGCCTCTGAGCACCTTCTCCAGAGCGGCCTGGGAGCCTGGGGCAGGGAAGCCTCTCCTTTCTGCCGAGGGCCACTTCTACCCATCATCGCTCCTCCGCCAAACTGTCAACCGAGGGTGCAGCACTGGAGTGTCCCCAATTCTCTGCGTGGAGATTTGGCTGTGATGGGATTCAGAGGTGAAAACCTAATCCAACTGTGGTGTCAAATGTGGGGGCTTTGGGAGACTGGGACTATGGCCATCAGGGCAGGCCCCAGGACCGACACTCGGCGTGTCTACAAGGAGAAGGAGGAGACCAGAGCAGAGACAGACGCACGTGCTCCCGCCCCCACCACACACGGTCCCTGGGCCTCAGCCCGCTAAACCGTGAGCTCGATAAACCTCTGTTTTTACAGATCACGCAGTCTCGGGGATTCCCTGCTATTAGCAACAGAACGGATGAGAACAACATTCAAGAGTAAAATAAGGGCACGTCCAGACCAAGATCTCGAACACCGGCCTCCTCCTCGACCTCTCATGAGCTTCGGAGGACATTCTCTAACAGCGAGAGGTCAAGCCAAGAGAGGAGGGTGCTGGGAGGCAGGGGCAGCGCTCCAGGTGGGGAGGAGGGTGCTGGGAGGCAGTGCCAGCAGGATAGAAGGAGGCAGCTGTAAAGCCATCCAGAGGGGCCATTCAGGAGACCCCAGAAGAGACTGGGAGACGGGCTGGCAGGCTCCGAGGCAGGTGAGTGTGCTCGAGGAGATACACACAGGTGAGGGTGTGAGGGTAAACCGACAGTCGCCGAGTCTATGGAACATAAGCATCCCTGGCTTCAAGGGGAAGGCTGTGGAAAGGGCGGCCCCAGGACAGCAGACACACCACTGTGATGAGGTCCCCTGTGAGTGCTAACCACAGCCTCCAGGCCCCACTGCCCTCCCGGGCTCCTCCAGCAACGCCTTCCTGCAGCATCACTGCCACTGCCCGGAAGAGCCCAGTGTGGCCGGGGCCCTCACGTCCGTCCCCAGACGCACACGTTCCCAGTGAGAGCGAGCCTCAGGACTGCCACTCTTCCTGGGTCTGTGCAGGCCTCGGGCCTCGCCCACAGCAACCCAGGCCAGGCCCCCTCCACCCTGGCTGGCTGTGGACTCACGGCGTAGGTTTGGACTGCGCAAAGGAGAGAGCATGTGCAGAGGGTGACCCCCGGGAACAACACACGGCCTCGTGACCTTGGGCCCACCGACTCGAAAGCTGCAAGCTTCCGGGGTGGGTCCGGGGCCTGCGTAGACCCTGAGTGTCAGTTACAAGGACAGAGCCCGAGGAGAATCTAGGAGCTGGGTGAGGCACAGAGGCGACGTGACCCTGCAGCGTCCCACGAGAAGGTCCTGGGTTTGCTAACCTGTGTGCTGGGCACTTACGTGCCCTCACCCTGGGCTGGCTGAGGCTGGGTGTGTCAGGGCTCTGTGGGGGTGCTTCTCTCTCTGTCTCTCTCTGACAGGAGAAATGAATAAACAAACTAAAAATAAAGAAGGACATCTCACTGGTTCCACAGACGGCCAGGGAGTCGTCAGAGCTGGCTGCAGTCAGAGGGCGGCTCGCACATCATCGGGCACCCAGGCGCGGAGCAGGTTGGGGTGGAGGGCACGGCAAGGGTGAAGGCTCAGAGCTGGCCGCCGGGCCGATTCAGCCTGCACACTGTGGACAGGGCAGGAGGCAGCGGCAGGAGCGAGCGGCAGGTGGGGCAGGGTGGGTGCAGGGTGCCAGGA